GTTTCGGAGATCCCCATGATAATCAGAGTCGCAGCCGTACTAGAAGTGGCTCCTCGGGAAGCCGATCTTCCAGCAGTGAGTTGATGTGGATAGATCCGCTGTGGCCGATGGTCCCTTCTCCCGTCAGGTGGTTCCTCCTCCTCGTCATCATCTTCTGGTAGCAGTGATGACGACTGAAAACGTATCAAACGTTTCAAAAGTGCCTATGCTTGAGTTGCCCAATGCGATAAGAGGGGAACTCGAAAATTTGATAGTCGGAAATATATTATAAGAAGGTTAAGACCACGTGCCAATTCAAAAGGCTGAAATTGACCCCTTGTGAGCTAAAATGCATCGATGCGAAGAGTGATCGATGAAGAGAGATTGACGGATAGACTACGTACCCACTATCGTCGTCATCATTACCAGCAGCCTGCTGGTGGGGAGGTGGGCACCCAGCGATTTTCTAGTCGCCCGGCCCGGCAGCCTTTGAACCCGCTTCCCCGGCTCGGCCCCGGTGACTCGGCAGTCTTTTCTCACCCATGTGCCGGGTTTAGCGGGCCCGCCGGGTTGGCCGGGTAACCCAGCCCGGATTGCCAGGCTCACTGTCCTATTAAGCGACTGAACGCAAATCATCATCAATGATTCATGATCAATGATTAATTGATAGAAGACACAGGCTTAGTCGGCCTCATCAGACAAAACCTCGCAAAATAACCAACGAACGCAGCATGTTCGCTGCTAGGCGACTCCGCCTTATTAAGAGCGAGCGCTACTAATGGCTCGAAATATCTGCGCTGCCGGGTTTCCGAGTGACCCGCATACAGTTGCGGGTCATTTTTCGCCCGCTCACCCGCCTGAGCCCGGCAACACCGGCAGGGAAGCCGGGTTTGTGACTTTGACCCGGCCCGGCTCGCTCCGGGGCCGGGCAAGGGTGCCCATGTATTCGCCTGCTGACAGCAGGCGAATCGGCGAAATTATCAAAGTATTGCATATGTCTAATCATCACTGATGATTAGACATATGCAATACTTTGATAATTCATTGATAATTCTGATGATTCATCAGAGTGGAACACAGTTCTGAGTAGCCAGACGGTTTATCCCAAGTCCGACGACAATACCCAGAGTAGCATGTACGACGAATTGTATATATTCAAGGCACGCTCCACCGCATCGCATTAGTTATTTGGGAGTGTTGGGTGGTGAGACTGAGTGTTAGCCAACTAGAGGAGGGTGGTAATACCGAACCTCACAACAGATCTTTGTTGATTGGTCCTCAACCTGTAACTACGTTGGTAGAAGAGAAGCTAGAGTTGACATCTAACCTTTCTCAGCAACACTACAAGAGGTTGTTGAGCCTTCTACAATTTTTCCACCTCAAATGATTATAAATTTGAGGGGGGGGGAGGGGCGGGAATTCACATTCAAATCGAGATATAGGCTCTTAATACAACCACTATACTTCGATTCAAATCAGTCTCAAGTTGCCATCTAAATTAAATAAAACCCTTTCCAATGGCTTCTTGGGTTCACCCGAAAAAGACGATTCTCTTTCCCATTTAGGCAATACGAAGATTCACACACAGCAAGCAAAAACCGTTTCAAACACTCGTAATAAAAAACGGCAATTTAGTCTTGAAACGATTATAAGGAAACGATGAACCATGCGGAAGTGGAGGCACACCCCTACCGCTTAATGGTAGTAAAATAAGTTTGAATTATTTCTAGCAGCGAATCGGTCTGTTGTATACCACGCGTTACTTGAAAATCGATCACTTCGGTGTTGGGGGAGTTTCTGTGGACAGGACGTCTCTACAACAGAGAACAGACCGAATCCTCACCGGTAGAAGTCTAGCAGGGGCTCTTCCTTATCGAAGTGAAGATCCAACCGGTGTTGAATGATCTCATCCGTGTCATCATCACGTCGAATCTAGACAAACCTCAACAGAATATCACTGACGTTGTGATGACTCACAAGGCCAGAACCACACGAATCGCAAATCCCCTCAGCCTTAGGTAGCATTGGAGGCATATCATAGTGACCATATCGTATATCAGCGAGGTTGTAGTTATCACCGCAGCTCCCACAGATGCGTCGTGAGGCCAACTTGTGTATCAATACCTAGAGGCAACCGATGGGCACATGCTCAGCAGCAGAGGACTTGTCACCGATCTTGCGAGGCTGATATTAATTACAAGCTCAGGGTTACCGTCACCAAGAGTTAGATCAGACCACATCTGGGCTTGCTCTAGAACTCGAGGAAAACCATCAAGAATGTAGCCGTCAACTCTGGCGGCGTTTCGAACGCTCATCACCTACAGCAGAGCGACAATGAACGACTCGACACTTTAGCGGAGCTACTTCATGTTTCATCAACTCACACTGTGCTCAGAAGGACATCAGCCTACGGAAGTATATGCTCTTGTGATATAGAGAGTACATACTTTATCGAGGAAAGCTGGCCAGCACCGAGAGGCTGCTGCTTTACATGAGCACGTAGTAGCTCTC